CATAATTTTATATATCACATGCACCTGTATACATGGCATAAATTCTATCACTCTAATCTCTTAATAACCTACTTGAAGGTGAGGGGCCCCCTAATAGGATTAAGGTGGGAAACATGTAGAGGGATCCCCCTATGAAATGGTATGCCTTACATCACATACTATGTCCAGAAAATCCTGTTATGCTCTATTAGACTGATGAATACTACTATATATTATATTGGCAATGGAGCTATGATCTATGATTTGATTGGGGATCAAATATGTAGAACTCAACAAATATGGTGTATACACATACCCACATACTCTGATTGATCTCTCTATATTTCCAGAGGATGAATTGGGGTCAATATTCCAAGGTGAGTTGAGTGCAGAACAGGTTTACATGAATGGTGGGGTCTATAGACTGAGCACCAGACATTAAGATGCATAGATAAGGATATTTGGATGTCTAGTAGGACTCCATACTATAATGCATTGTGGTTGTGGCATGTGTTGCTACAGGTAGCTGAACAGAGGGTAGGTATGCATAGAGCAAAAGAGAGTGCCTTCGCTATTACAACAGGTCAGAAATTAATTTCAAGTATGATGCAAGCCTTGAGCCTAGAATTGTATAGGGCTCCAAATGAACCTGTCCAGCACTTGAATCAACCTTATATCTGTTCTGGATCCCTCACAGTACTATTATCAGTGTTATCTACCACAAAGATGATGGGTTCACCATGGTATCACCCCTGCGGTTCGAGGAAATCTAAGGATATATACTGGTAAGGGTATGCTCCACCTCCCAGAAACTGGTGGCCCTGACCCTCTAGCACATCTCTATCCTGTGCTATATAGCACCTAAGGTCTTTGGGAATTGAATCACCCTAGCACCTGCTGTGTGGTTATAAATGAGTGGAGGCATGGTGGACCATCCTATGGCCTCAGATCAACTTAGATCATGAGATTCCATGCATGTGGCCCTAAGATATCAGCAAAATACTGTTCAACTTGGTATTTTAACATGCTTGGCAGTGAATGGCTCAGGGTAATGGTAATGAATGATACAGAGACAAGGGCTGAAGGATAGATGGATGGTACACCTTTCAAATGAACTCTCTCCCAGCTTTATCCACCAAGGCTAGCTGGAGATCTGTGCTTATCTTGCAAGGGTGATAGGGATCAATACCACTGATGAGTAAATGTATTGCATTATCAGTGCCATATTCACTGGGAATTAAGAAGGGACACATCAGAGCCTTAGGTCAGAGTAGGCAAACTTACAAGTCAGCTACCTTATATTTTAAAAGGACCAGATATTCTCTTTTTCAGGACCGAAGGGACAATGTAGTAATTATATACTATGATAATCATCAACATATCTGATCAATCAATAGTACTTTTGAGACCCTTTCTGCTAGTACTTGATTCATGCTTTTAGCTCAAGTAGCTATAAAGATAGAGCCCTATCGGTTATACATAAGCTAGTGATAGGTTAGTGCTCACACATTTATTGAGCTGCTACCATGGGTTACTTAAAGAAAAGGTGGTTATATAGTCAAAATATACAACTTTGATTTTGTGACAATGTGTGACATTCTCTGATGATTTCCCCATCAAATGGCAAAAATTTCCTTTTTAAGAGATATGAGGTCACAGATATGTGACAATTGTGACCTCATATGACACTGTGTAACAAAACTAGTACCATCAATACATATAGTATCATATAATATCACAAATTTAGTAAGATGTTATATAACAGTGTCATATCTTATAGTTACTTAGGTACTAGATCCTGCCATATAGTAATACAATACCAACTCTTTCCTTTTTTGGTAACTTTCAATGATGTAATCATAATATATCACAGAGATAGTAGATATTACAGTCTACATGCCTTATAGTCCTCTCAACTGAAATTGCCTTTTTTGGCAAGCCTCAATGATCTGTTAGCTTAGTATTTATAGTAGATATTGCAGCGTAGGTTGCCGACTTAGCATTCAAGTCTTAGGTCCCAGAATTATTACATTTATTGCAACTTTAAACTCTATTTATTGCAGCATTGGGCCATTTACAGAAACATTTGTAGTTAGAATGCACACCGCGCTGTAGCATACATTCTAACTACAAGGGATATGTGGGATTAACAGGTGATTCAGTCTGCAAAAAATTGTGAAACAATATTTGAAGCTGGGGCGTGGCCCCAGCCTGTCTAGTCTTTCAAGAAAGATATGGACAGTTGTCCACAGCTGTAATGCAAAAGATGTGGACAGTTGTCCAGGAGTCACAAGCCTGGAAAGTAAATGTTAAATTAAAGAGCCAAATTGATAGATATGACTAAGCTAATACCATATATGGTGATAGGAATCACCTTTTCTTCAGGCCAATGATTTGTAATATAGTTTGGAACAGTCTGCAATACAGGGCAAGGAAATTGATGTAATCACATGTCATATTGATGTAACACCATCTAATCATCAAAACAATTGATCTCTATCAAAAATGGTTCCACATTATAAACAATATATAAAAGGCATTGATCCCATCACTAACAGGGCTCTACAAGCCTCTCAAATAAATAATTACTCTTTTAATAAATGTAACATTTGTGACTTAGAAGCCATTGTCCACATCTTTTGCATTACACCCATAGACAATTGTCCACATCTTTTGCATAGAAGTAGCTATAGCAGCTGATGAACATAATTCCAGTATTAATGATAAGTCTGTGACATTATCATGTGTGACAGTGTTTCATTGATGAGCCTCAGTTGGCCTAACTTGGTGACCAAAAACATCTCATACCTCTGAAGATTGTTCAAATTATTCATTCCATTATACGATAATTATTTATTTCTATGAGTTGGACAATTTCATGTGGCTTGTCAGGTCCACCCTGCCCAGCTGGACAGTCTACAGTGATATATGAACCACACAGGTGACTGGATGTATACAACCTGCAACAAAAACATTACCCCATTGCAAAGCACGGGTTCTACCTAGTTTAACTCAATTTGAATACCATTTTTAGTATGACGTTCAATATAAAAATTTTGATTCAAATTATTTCCTAATCAACCAACTCTTGGCGCCTGCTACTGCACATGCCAAAGATTCCCCTTTTTGGACATCTTTTAATCTGTGTGACATGCAAAGAAAATTCATATAAAATCAGCCGTGATGTATGACATGCAAACTGAGTAAAATACTACAGTATTGGGAGGGTGTTGATGGACCTGTGATGGAGCAGGTGAGAGAGGGTCAACTTTTTATTTGGTATCTCTCCAAGTTGTTAAAATATACATCTTTTTATCCACTATTTATCATAAATAAATCCTACTTCAGAGTCCAAGGGGGGTTCAAGACTTGAAACATGGATATAGGATTGGAAAGCTTTTTCCTGACTCTTGGGGGACCTCCCGCGATGTGTGTTATGTGACCAGTGATGCGATCAAAATTAGGATAAAAATTCAGTATTTATGAAACCTTTTTTTCAAAAAAAAATATGTATGTGTATGTGGATATGTGTAGGTATATATGTACCTGGAACCTTTAAACATATATACTAGGCTTTTCAACATGTTCACCTCTCATCAATTACCTGATGATGGGCCTATGACAGAGTAGGCTATCCAAGCTTATGGGCCTGAAAGTATATAGATATAAGTATGAGGGTTGTGAACCATAGAAATTAGAGTGTATACACTATATTTTCAGTGGCTTTACACCTATATAAGGCTCAAATCTTTCAGATACAAAAAGTTTTCTGGGGGGGTACCCTCCCTACCCTATGTGCCTGATAAGAATCTTGCCCCCTATCAGAGCCATTTTTTTGGTAGAAACTCTAGTGTGCTAGTTTTATTAATTAAGTGACCAGGCATATCACAGAGGACATTTTGTCGAAGATTGACAGGTCACGGGTGACTCACCATGAATCTTCTAGGCCTTTCTACCTGTATGCTTACATATCATTCAGAACACTGTAGAATATACTAGATATATTCATTGTAGTATATATACTAAAAGCAAGTTTAGTGTTGGGCATTGCTTGCCCTAACGCACAAGATCTCTAACCAGAGTGTGATTGCAAACTTATTGCTGGTTTTGATCCCATGGCACCTTGGATCAACACTTATTTCAACACAGTGTGTCTTAACTTAGGCTTTAAAATGTGCATCAAGACCCTGAGCTTACTTCCTGGCATTGTACTAGTAAATTTCCAGTACACACAGCACATTTTCTTTAGGATGCTTTTGCAGATTGAAGTTCATTACTAGGAAAACAAAAGAGATTATTATGTTGAGTCAGGCTGAACAGCCTCTCACCCTAATTTCTCATAGTCACAGATATGAATATTCCTCAACTGCGGCTATCATCACTAATTGGCAGCAACTAGCCTTGTGGATATACATATCATATTGGGGTAATTACTAATAGTAGTAGGTTTCCAACTTGAAGCTGAGTTTAGGTGACATCCTGTAATAGATTAAATCAACACAAAATCGAGGGACGGACCATCTGGCAGACGATGGTTAGCTGTGCCTTCGGAGCTAGAGAACGAACAATCATCTGCCGCCAGTGGTACTCGAACGCACGGCGAATGCACTAATCAAATCAATGTAAGGGTGACTCACCGTGACTGAGTCACCTTTTCTTTTACTCTCACCTCTTACTTTCATGCAAGAGGAGGGACGTCATGCTGCATTCTGCTAACATGTCACCGCTGGCCACGGCCAGCGTCTTTCTCGGTTCAGCAACGGAGAACCGGCGCTTGGCGCTCCCGACGACATCGCACGCCAGACGAATGCCAATGCGGGGTAGGCAATGCGGTGTGGGTGACGGCGCGGAGCATGTTGTATGGTGCACCAATCATTCTTCTGGCCATCCGCACTTCGACTGACGGCATTAGTTTTAGGGTATAAAACTGGCCGGGGGACAGCTCGCGTCTTCAGTGTTACTCGGTGCGTGTCCGAGTCCTGCCTTCTGGTTTACTGACTGTGCTGACGGGAACGTAGACGATGCGCGCGATTGCACACTCAGTCGTCAGCTTCCTGCTCTCGTTCTCCCTCAGTCTCCCTCCCGCTGCTGAACCGCCGCTCGACCTCTCCTCGCTGGACTTGTCCGCATTCAGCAACCTTGACCCGTCGATTCAGGCGGTCAACATCCACATCCTCGCGGGTACTCCGCCGAATCCGCTCAACGGGAACTTCGACGACGAGAAATGCTCCCCTGCGCAGGTGACGGCTATCCGCAATGGCATCGTCGACGCGCGCAACATGGCGACTGGTGCGATAGCGCTGCTGAAGCCGAAGGACATGAACAAGAGTAACGGGTTCTTCTGGATCTTCGGCGGCTCCACGGTCGACCCCGCAATCATCACCAAGCACTTCTCCTTCGTGCTCAGGCTCGGCACGGCGGACGAAATCACGTCGACAAAGAAATATGAAAACAGCAAGACGGATCTTATCTTCACGTGCATTCCACCGACGGCCCCGAAGGCAACCTCTGCATATGCGAACACCCAGAACATCGGCCGGCAGAAGTCAGTTCTCAACCTCATCCGGCTGTCGCCGACAGGGCTTGCGGTGCGTTTCTTGCCCTTGTCGCGGTGTCGGCTCATCGGTTGACAGAACACGGAATCGTACACAATCGCTGCCGCGCGCGTGAAGACGTCTGGCCAGATCCAAGACGGCTTCCCCGTGAAGCAAGTCGGCACGCTGTCGGTCCCCGCGCCGCCACTCGCTTTCACGATCGTTCATGAGGTGCAACACGCTGATCCGCTGATGGATAACCCTGCAACAGACCACCTTGTCGATGAGAAGGGCGGGACCGGCGCGCGCGCGTACGGCTTCCAGCAAATTATGCACGAGTTGTCCAAGGACCAGAAGGCGCGCAATCCGCAGAACTATGCGTTCTTTGGCTTACTGGTGCGTTGTCGCTCGGTAGTAACATTCTACTGATCGCTTTCAAGGCCGCGTCTAACCCGGAGTTGTTCGTGCCCAACTGCTACATCGGCGACGCGCCCCTCAGCCTCGCGCCACTCTTAATCGCCGGTCGTCTCCGGATGCAGACGTCGCTCGGGCCGGACACATGCCACACCACGGTCCCCGGGGCGTGCGCCGCCTGCAAGAAGATTATCAAGGGCATTCCCGGTGATGTCAAGCTGCCCAACTTCGACCCCGATTCCACGTAGGTTGCGCGAAGGCGTTGTTCGTAAAGCTCAGAACGACCTTGGTACCATCCTTGCTAACAACAAGTTTTTGTACAATGTGTGTAATTGAAATAAAAAGACGACTTATCAATAAAACACTCCATTGAATAATTTGAATTTCAAACAAGACTTAGATAGGCGGCCGAGGATCCAGCTGGGACGCCGGGCCCACGGTGACCAAAGAATTCCAGAAAGGAGCTACAAGAAAGTGCAGCCCAGCCTGAGGGTAAGAAGACCATTGTTAGAGAGGGTTGTCGCTGCTGTGCAGTAAACATATAAGTAGGCGAAAAGCCTTCTATTGATAGCATTAGGTCTGGAATATTGACTATTTTAACCGGGGAATCCACCCTTTCCCGTTCGCGTCCAAGATCTGAATCGGTGACTTTCGCTGTCGCAGGGCGTCCGACCACCGTACGAACGTGCTATATCGAATGTCATGGCTACTCAAGTAATGAATGTCCACTTTCAAAGAGAACGCATCAAGTACGCACGCGTTGGTAGGCCAGACGATGGTGGAGATGTGGAGTTCTCGCAGCGCGGGCAGCCGGTCCAGCGCCGCCTGGAACTGCGCGGCGGCGAATATCTGGTTCCACGTCTTGTCTGCGCGCGTCTCAGGGGACTGGATGGGCTGCGCGCCGTGTCCGCACACCCAGTTTGATTAATTAAAAAATTTCTCATGTCAGACCATACCCCCGCTTGCACGCCTCGCTCCAACGCTAAGTCGCGCTCGCTCGCCAAGTCGCGCGAGCGAGAGCCCCCTCTAATATAGTGCTTTGGCTGCGTGCACGGACCTCAAGAAAGTCACGAGGTAAACTCTAGTGGGGGAGAAATTTTGGATTATCGGGGCTGTTTCGGGCCATCTCGGGGCTGTCTCGGGCGCGCATAAGGCAGAGTCCTTCTCGGGCTCTTCGGGCAGGCATTGGTAGGGTACAAAGTCATGCATTTCACTAAGTGCTTCCAGACACGCTAATTAAGCACGCGACGCGACGCGTTTGACGCCATCAAACTGAGCGCATTCCCTCCAGCTCCTTCAAATCCAACTCCAGCGCGGCAGCACAGTGGGCTCCACTGCGCCGGTTGCCCTGCTCGTCGTCCCGTTTGCATGCCTCCGGCGGCTCGGACCTGCAAAAAAATGAGCTTTGAATTGCGCAGAATGAGCCCAAAATGTACCTCCAATGTGTCCATCAAAACCAGCGCGGAAGGGCGAAAAGCGGTATATATCGGCGAAGGCGGGATGGGCCGGGGGATGGCGAAGGCCGGACACAACCCGTCAAGCCGCATAAAGAGGGGCAAGACGGCAGTGGCGCGAACGCGAGGCGCTATGCCACGATGCGATGTCAAAGGCTAAGTAGAGCTTGATGCCGGCGTAGCAAGATCAGCGCTGGGCGATAAATGACAATGGCAAGAGGAGAGGTGGACGGAGCAAGTGGGTCTGGCCAGACCAAGGCCAGCGAGCGCCGAGCAAGCCGATATCGAGGTTGTGATGCGTGCAGCAGCGGCGAGGGATGTCGGCATCCGGCGTATGTCCGACTCGGAGAACCGCGGCTGTGTGGGGCCCGAAACACCAATGTAACCGGCAGCCCGCAAGGACCAATGCCGACGTCGGGGAAAGATGCGGGTGGGCAGCGGCAGGGAACATGCCATGACAGCGGCTGGGAATCCATGGGATGGCAGAGCATGGCCTTCGGATAGGATGGTTCGTGCCGAGACGGATGAGCACGTCGTGAGGAAATGAAGCGCCCGGCGAGCCTTCGACAGAGAGTGCCGTGAGAAGGAAGTGAGGGTGGCAGAGATGCCGAGGGTGGCGAAAGCACACCACCACGTTGGCCGGGAGGAGACGGAACCGGGCGACACTAGGCTGGGATCAGTGGCTTTGAGGTTGGCAGGGAGGCTGAGACAGAAGAGCGCGTCGTCTGGGATCAGACAAGAGTGCAGTCAAGCTGTCACGACAGGGAGCGGGATGCGAGGGGAGCAGCCCGGTCTGGGCATGAAGTGAAGCCGCGTCGGATGATGTGAGCAGCGAGGGCTGCGAGGCCGTGTCGGGGAGTGTCGTGTGTCGGGATGAGAGGGCAGTGGGGATGCCGCGGACGGCACATCAGAGAGGGTGGTGATGTTGGGAGGCGACGCCGGATCGGGAGGACACTGGGCTCGGGTCACGACCATGGTCAACCCATGGTGTCGAGAACTTTGATGGCCGGGCGGGACGCGCGCCTCTCCGGCGGCTCGACCCTGGAAAAAAGTCAGTGTTGAATCCCAAAATAAAACAGTAAAAACGCACCCAAAAATACCATCAAATGATGGGATCAGTGATCCAGTGCACGGCAGGTCCAAGAAAAAAAACAGGGCAAGGTCAAGCTCGGCCAGGCGATGGTGGACAGCCGATGCGGCAGCCACTGAGTGATAGGACATGACATCACTATGCCAGCAGTCGGGACGTCATTATGGCCGCAATGGCAGCACGGGGCAACAACTCTGGGTGAACCACGGTGCCGAGAAAGTTGATAGCCGGGCGGGACATAGGCCTCCGGCGGCTTGACCCTGCGAGAAAGTAAGCTTTGAATCCCGAAAATAAAGGGCCAAAACACACCCAAATAATACCATCAATAATTGATGATATCATTGATCCGGATCACGGCATGCGTGAGCGCAAAGTGATTCGAACAGACTCCAAGCTGACCGAAGATCAGTGAGCATTCATAAGAACATATATCAATACTCACTTGAGCGCAGAGCAGCATGACATCGCAGGCCCCTGGCAGCAAAGCCTAATGAAAAAGTAAGCCGATGTGAACGCTGATACAACAAGAAATGTGCTTACGTAAGCGCCTAATGCGGCACAATGATGCGCCATCACCACGTGTACGCAAGACGTGATAGCGCTGGCGAGGGCTCGACGCAGCTACGACAAGGTACTGTTGAAGTGTCTCATTAGCAATAATAAAATGGCGCCGAAATGGACATACAAACAACATCTCTGCATCCAAGCAGAGGTTCCCCCTCAAAGTTGATGTCCATCGTGCTAACGCGGCACTGGAGATAGGTCACAACGGCAAGGGAAGCAGTAGTACATCAACTCACCAGTGAAAAGCACCCGAGAATAGATTCCCCGCATTCACCATGGGTATTTGAGGTGATGGGCGGGCAACAAGGATCCGGGGCGGCGGCGGCGACAGCAGAACAATGTGCTGGCAACAGGTCATCATCAACGGCAATGCAGGAGGCACTGAATGGACTTACAACCACGTCAGTGTCCGACCAAAGGCCTGGCTTCCCCATCGAAGGTCGGTGTCAAAAAATGGGTTGAGGAAGGGCCAGTGGCGCAGGAGCGAAGCCAGCTGCAACTCGGCGGGCCACTGGAATGAGGGTCAGAGAGGAATATGGACGGTTAGAGGGATGCAGACGTACTCGTGTGTTGCTCGCTGCCAGCTCTGGGACCAAGATGGCGATGGCGAAGGCAGCCTCGGGCGGACAACCACCTGTGTCGGCGTCAGCAAGAGAGAAATGTGAACAGATGAGAGCTCACCAATCCTATGCTTGCCAGCGGAGCGGATGCGCGAGGGTGTTGGCGCGCATGAAGGGATGGTGGTGGAGTGAAGACAAGCAGGGTCCAGGCTCGTGACCTTGTTGATGATATGATGGATGCCCGGAAATCACGTCCACCCGCGGACATCACATTCTCATCATCATTCGTGCTGTCACGGCCATGTGCTCGGTCAGGGTTGGTGGTGAGTGCTAGATTTGTTGTCAGTTGGTGGAAACAAGGTGGAAATAGCACAAGAGTAGGGGAGTCCCAACGACTACGCCAGCAGAGGCCCTAGGAACAGAGCTGCCATGCAAGAAGACTATTTTTAGACACATGGCGGCAGGTGGAGCGAGCGTTGATAAAGCGGTGCGGTGGTTGCCAAGGCGGCGGCGGCAATGACGCCGTATTTTTATAACAGACCCGGGGTGTTGGTTGCCTTGGGCCCACTCTCAGGGATGGCGGCATCGAGGGAGTTGTTGTCGGGTTGCCAAGACGGCATAGTTCAAGAAAATGATGGCGTGTCATCCGCAGCGGAAATGATGGTGGTTGCTAACACGGGGCGACCGGCGGACAGTCGGCATTACATGATGCGTTAGGAATGTCGGTGGTGTTGGTCGCGTTGGCCAGCCTATGAGCGACGGGGAGCAAGTATTCATGATGGCGTGTCACTGGCAGGAACCCGAAAATGATCAGTGTCGCCGACTTGGGGTTGATAGAGTCAGCAATGGATGCACGCAATAAGTACCATGCATGCGGAACTTCGGCGCAGTGAGGCGAGTTGCATGAAGCCCCAGGCTGAGTTGAACTTGAATGAGAATCGTACCATCTGGCCCGGGCCACCGGCATTCAAACTATATTTAATTTAGCTGTTATGAAAGTGTCAGGGAAACGAATGGAAGCACGGATAGTGCACTCAGGGTTCACCGAAATGATGCTCAGGGTCCTCCGTGCTGGTTACATGGAAGAGAAGCAGCCCACGGTGGCAGCGGTTGATAGCCGAGGCCGTGGGGGTGGACGTGATCTAATCCCTACTGGCTCAAGCACTCATGGTCTCCTGCTCAAGCTGGCCTTGCCGTGTGCTGGTTTTGCCCTCCCACCTTTCTATCCTTTTTCTTCATCAATTAGTCAAATTTCCCTTTTTGATGCCCCTCAACCGCAGATTTCCCGCGAAAACGACGCGTTTGTCGTGTCAGACTCGCTGGATTTTCCTCAACCCGAGTCGTCAGCTTTTCAGAAACATCACCACTGACGCTGCAATCCAAATCCGGCAATTGCACCGGTACGACTCGGACTCGTGACTTTCCAGGCCTTGGGACAAACTCAATTCAGGGAAGTTCTATATTTTTCTTGAGTCTACCTACCCAGCGACACCCGAGCCTTATCGCCGCCCGCGATCCAACGCAGCAAAAGGCAAAAGAGTCCATTTCACGCAAAGAGGTCGAGGCACAATGAGTCCTGCAGAGATATATTAATAGCTGTAACCATTTGCCCAGAAGGGTCGCAATCGGCACAAGTCCCCCGCCGCCCAGAATGCGCCGCTGATCCCTTAGAAACGGACAGCTGTCCATTTTGGAGAAGTGTCGCAAACACGGGCCGTGTTCTCTAAGCGAGCTCCACAGCCTGGACCGGGCGGAGGTTATAAAAGGCTGCACGGCCTTCAAATCTCGCGCATCTCTCTCTCTTTCCCTCCCCCATCTTCTCTCGCTCTCGCTCTCGCTCTCGCTTTCGTCGTTGACTTCGCGTGCTCTTGGACGAGTGTCGGGTTATCGTTGGCATTGGGGATGAACTACTTCCTGGTGAGTTGGTCATCGTCGTCGTCGTCGGCGTTACTCACCGTCGTCCAGTTTGCCTGCCATCCAGTGTCTGTCATCGCCCTTGTCTCAAAGTCATCCTTCGGATTCCTTCCATTTGGCGTTTTGCTCGCTTATCTCTTCACAGCGCCCAGCCTCACCTCGCTAGACCGTCCGTCCCGTTGTACCTCTCGATCTATAGCGCCTGCCCCCGCTGGCGCTGCTTGCCCGTGGCCCGTCGGTGGATGTCGCTTATGGAAGCCGCTGGCGGCTTCGTTGACGAGCTTCTCGCTGGTCTGCCCCCCTTTCGGAGACTATTCTCGGTGAGTGATGTCCTCCGTGGTTCGTGCTCGCGTGCTTACGGTCGGGACCAGCCTTTGGAGGGCTATCATCAACGTGGAGATAGGCCCGCGGGCAGTATTGCGACTTGCGAGCGGGGGGAGAAGCGAGAAGTGGTTGACCTTTAGCACGTGCTCGGGTCTTCGCACCCAAGCGCCGAATCTCTCGTCCCACGCTTACTCTCCCTGACCCTTGCCATCGCTGGCGCTGCCCTCCGTTGCCCGTCGGTTCACGTCGCTGCGCTCGCCTCGTCCTCGCTGTTTCCGCCGACTGATGCTTTGGTGAGTGAACACCTTCGTCTTGCTCGTGTGCTTACCGTCGTTAGCGGTGTCGTCAACGTGGACATCGACGCTTGTTGGAGGCGCCCTTGTCGAGTAGTTCATCACCCTCGCTGCCGCTCCCCGTCGGTGGATGGCGCTCATCGAAGCTTCTGCCCGCTTCGTCGACGAGCTTCTCGCTGCCAATGGTTTGGAGTCTCTTCCCGAGTGCTGGTCAAAGGTGAGTCGTGGCCTTCATAGTTCTTGCTTGTGTGCTTACCATCCGAGTCGTTACCAGGTCTTGGAATGCTGTCGTCGACGTCGAGTCGTGGACCTTGGAGGTGCGTGGTTAGCTTCACCCATGGGAATACACATGCTTATCGTTCGTCGTAGATCTCTGCTTGTAGTGTTCTCCGCTGACCGTTTCCCTGCTTCAAGTTGTTGGAGGCGCCCTTGGGGACTGGTTTTGTGGTGCTTTTTGCTGTCCATCAGCTTGGAGACTATCCATTTAGCCATGTTTCGCCGACGCTTCCCGTGTTTCCACCCAACGTGCTGGCCAAAGGTGAGTCATGACCTTGGTCGTTCTGCTCGTGTGCTTACCGTTGTTGCCAGGCCTTCGAGTGCTGTCGTCAACGTCGATCCTGGTGGGTTAGCCTCCTCGTTGTCCATAACCTGCTGACTATTCATTAGTAATGCGTCGTAGACGACCTTCTCGCCGTTTCCGCCCAAAGTCCTGGCGAAAGGTGCGTCATCACTATCGTGTTTCATGCTCGTGTGCTTATGGTTCTTGCTCAGAGTGCCATTGTCGCCGGCGTTGACGCTATCAGCGAAGGTGAGTGGTTATCCCCGCACATTGGATATTTGTGCTGACTGTTCCATGTAGCCCGCTTCTCTCCCCGTTGCTTGCATGCCCCGTTTGCCGTTGGTGAGTCTGCGCGGTTGCGCGCATTGTTTGTTGCTCACTAACTTGTTTATCGTGTCCCTCAAAGCATTCCCGCTCGTGCGTTCAGTTGTCCGCTCATCGTTAAATACGACGGTGTGCTGCCTAGACGGTGGGGTCAGCGTTCCCTTGCGACCGATCTCTTGTTGGGCTTACGAGTTTCTTAGCCCTCTTTGCCGTTTTCCGCCCTTGAAACTCGGCCACTGCGCAGACTTCTTTTGTGCCGGTGCTGCTGTGCTTGCCGGCGCGTTCTTACGGCTTGCTGTCCGGATCCACGGCAGCCCCAAGGTGCTCGCTTATTCCCGCCCTCGACAAAGCTGACTGGCCCTCCCAGCGCGAGTTTGCCGTGAACGGCCTCGCAGGTACAGCCATCATCGGAGATGTCACGGCCACTGACGGCCTTTGCGGCTGGACCTGCGCAGTGGGTGCGGGAGGCGGCTTAGGCGGCTTCGGGTGTGTTGAGCGGGACGGTTGGTCGACGTAGATAGTGTCTCCCGCGTTAGATAGGTTTGGCGTGTGCGTTGGCGGCCGCGGCGTGCCATTTACGTTTGCGGCAGCATGAGCCGCTTGCCTTGGGGCCGTAGCACTGGCACGGGCCGGGGCCGAACGGTGAGCGGGGGCGGGGCGGGCAAGTCGGTCAGTAGACGAGCGCGGGAGAGGGAGAAGGAGAAGGACACAAGCGAATAAGCGAAATAAGCGAACACGTGTGCCACGTCACGCTCGCTCACGCTGTCTCCGGTCTCCTTCTTCCGCTTCTCTCCCCACCTTAGGCTGCCATTCCCCGCCCGCGTGTGTTGTGCTGGCGCGGCTCGGGTGCGCTCACTTGCCCCCGCTCACGTCGTCGGCCGCGAATCATGATGCTGTGTGGTTGGCGCGGGGAAAGACCGTACCGGGGTGTGGCTGTGGCGGGTCTAGGCCTCCTCGGGGTCTTCTCTTACCGGTGTACGCAGAGAGTGTTGAATGCAATCGTGGTTCTGGGGCTCGTCGCGCGGCGCCTGCATCGTCTCGGGTCCTTCGCATCCTCTCGACGCCGCGCTTCCCGCCGGAGCTGGAGCAACAGATCTTCGAAGCTGTCGCCTTGTTGTACCCGGAGAACATTCGTCGCGTCGGTGCCAGTGCGCATCCCCCCTTCTCGTTGACTGACTGCGCTGACGGGAACGTAGACGATGCGCGCACGATTGCACACTCAGTCATCAGCTTCCTGCTCTCGTTCTCCCTCAGTCTCCCTCCCGCTGCTGAACCGCCGCTCGACCTCTCCTCGGCGATTCAGGCGGTCAACATCCACATCCTCGCGGGTACTCCGCCGAATCCGCTCAACGGGAACTTCGACGACGAGAAATGCTCCCCTGCGCAGGTGACGGCTATCCGCAATGGCATCGTCGACGCGCGCAACATGGCGACTGGTGCGATAGCGCTGCTGAAGCCGAAGGACATGAACAAGAGTAACGGGTTCTTCTGGATCTTCGGCGGCTCCACGGTCGACCCCGCAATCATCACCAAGCACTTCTCCTTCGTGCTCAGGCTCGGCACGGCGGACGAAATCACGTCGACAAAGAAATATGAAAACAGCAAGACGGATCTTATCTTCACGTGCATTCCACCGACGGCCCCGAAGGCAACCTCTGCATATGCGAACACCCAGAACATCGGCCGGCAGAAGTCAGTTCTCAACCTCATCCGGCTGTCGCCGACAGGGCTTGCGGTGCGTTTCTTGCCCTTGTCGCGGTGGCGACTCATTGGTTGACAGAACACGGAATCGTACACAGTCGCTGCCGCGCGCGTGAAGGCGTCTGGCCAGATCCAAGACGGCTTCCCCGTGAAGCAAGTCGGCACGCTGTCGGTCCCCGCGCCGCCACTCGCTTTCACGATCGTTCATGAGGTGCAACACGCTGATCCGCTGATGGACAACCCTGCAACAGACCACCTTGTCGATGAGAAGGGCGGCACCGGGCGCGCGCACGGCTTCCAGCAAATTATGCACGAGTTGTCCAAGGACCAGAAGGCGCGCAATCCGCAGAACTATGCGTTCTTTGGCTTACTGGTGCGTTGTCGCTCGGTAGTAACATTCTACTGATCGCTTTCAAGGCCGCGTCTAACCCGGAGTTGTTCGTGCCCAACTGCTACATCGGCGACGCGCCCCTCAGCCTCGCGCCACTCTTAATCGCCGGTCGTCTCCGGATGCAGACGCCGCTCGGGCCGGACACATGCCACACCACGGTCCCCGGGGCGTGCGCCGCCTGCAAGAAAATTATCAAGGGCATTCCCGGTGATGTCAAGCTGCCCAACTTCGACCCCGATTCCACGTAGGTTGCGCGAAGGCGTTGTTCGTAAAGCTCAGAACGACCTTGGTACCATCCTTGCTAACAACAAGTTTTTGTACAATGTGTGTAATTGAAATAAAAAGACGACTTATCAATAAAACACTCCATTGAATAATTTGAATTTCAAACAAGACTTAGATAGGCGGCCGAGGATCCAGCTGGGACGCCGGGCCCACGGTGAGTCGGTGACCAAAGAATTCCAGAAAGGAGCTACAAGAAAGTGCAGCCCAGCCTGAGGGTAAGAAGACCATTGTTAGAGAGGGTTGTCGCTGCTGTGCAGTAAACATATAAGTAGGCGAAAAGCCTTCTATTGATAGCATTAGGTCTGGAATATTGACTATTTTAACCGGGGAATCCACCCTTTCCCGTTCGCGTCCAAGATCTGAATCGGTGACTTTCGCTGTCGCAGGGCGTCCGACCACCGTACGAACGTGCTATATCGAATGTCATGGCTACTCAAGTAATGAATGTCCACTTTCAAAGAGAACGCATCAAGTACGCACGCGTTGGTAGGCCAGACGATGGTGGAGATGTGGAGTTCTCGCAGCGCGGGCAGCCGGTCCAGCGCCGCCTGGAACTGCGCGGCGGCGAATATCTGGTTCCACGTCTTGTCTGCGCGCGTCTCAGGGGACTGGATGGGCTGCGCGCCGTGTCCGCACACCCAGTTTGATTAATTAAAAAATTTCTCATGTCAGACCATACCCCCGCTTGCACGCCTCGCTCCAACGCTAAGTCGCGCTCGCTCGCCAAGTCGCGCGAGCGAGAGCCCCTCTAATATAGTGCTTTGGCTGCGTGCACGGACCTCAAGAAAGTCACGAGGTAAACTCTAGTGGGGGAGAAATTTTGGATTATCGGGGCTGTTTCGGGCCATCTCGGGGCTGTCTCGGGCGCGCATAAGGCAGAGTCCTTCTCGGGCTCTTCGGGCAGGCATTGGTAGGGTACAAAGTCATGCATTTCACTAAGTGCTTCCAGACACGCTAATTAAGCACGCGACGCGACGCGTTTGACGCCATCAAACTGAGCGCATTCCCTCCAGCTCCTTCAAATCCAACTCCAGCGCGGCAGCACAGTGGGCTCCACTGCGCCGGTTGCCCTGCTCGTCGTCCCGTTTGCATGCCTCCGGCGGCTCGGACCTGCAAAAAAATGAGCTTTGAATTGCGCAGAATGAGCCCAAAATGTACCTCCAATGTGTCCATCAAAACCAGCGGAAGGGCGAAAAGCGGTATATATCGGCGAAGGCGGGATGGGCCGGGGATGGCGAAGGCCGGACACAACCCGTCAAGCCGCATAAAGAGGGGCAAGACGGCAGTGGCGCGAACGCGAGGCGCTATGCCACGATGCGATGTCAAAGGCTAAGTAGAGCTTGATGCCGGCGTAGCAAGATCAGCGCTGGGCGATAAATGACAATGGCAAGAGGAGAGGTGGACGGAGCAAGTGGGTCTGGCCAGACCAAGGCCAGCGAGCGCCGAGCAAGCCGATATCGAGGTTGTGATGCGTGCAGCAGCGGCGAGGGATGTCGGCATCCGGCGTATGTCCGACTCGGAGAACCGCGGCTGTGTGGGGCCCGAAACACCAATGTAACCGGCAGCCCGCAAGGACCAATGCCGACGTCGGGGAAAGATGCGGGTGGGCAGCGGCAGGGAACATGCCATGACAGCGGCTGGGAATCCATGGGATGGCAGAGCATGGCCTTCGGATAGGATGGTTCGTGCCGAGACGGATGAGCACGTCGTGAGGAAATGAAGCGCCGGCGAGCCTTCGACAGAGAGTGCCGTGAGAAGGAAGTGAGGGTGGCAGAGATGCCGAGGGTGGCGAAAGCACACCACCACGTTGGCCGGGAGGAGACGGAACGCGGGCGACACTAGGCTGGGATCAGTGGCTTTGAGGTTGGCAGGGAGGCTGAGACAGAAGAGCGCGTCGTCTGGGATCAGACAAGAGTGCAGTCAAGCTGTCACGACAGGGAGCGGGATGCGAGGGGAGCAGCCCGGTCTGGGCATGAAGTGAAGCCGCGTCGGATGATGTGAGCAGCGAGGGCTGCGAGGCCGTGTCGGGGAGTGTCGTGTGTCGGGATGAGAGGGCAGTGGGGATGCCGCGGACGGCACATCAGAGAGGGTGGTGATGTTGGGAGGCGACGCCGGATCGGGAGGACACTGGGCTCGGGTCACGACCATGGTCAACCCATGGTGTCGAGAACTTTGATGGCCGGGCGGGACGCGCGCCTCCGGCGGCTCGACCCTGGAAAAAAGTCAGTGTTGAATCCCAAAATAAAACAGTAAAAACGCACCCAAAAATACCATCAAATGATGGGATCAGTGATCCAGTGCACGGCAGGTCCAAGAAAAAAAACAGGGCAAGGTCAAGCTCGGCCAGGCGATGGTGGACAGCCGATGCGGCAGCCACTGAGTGATAGGACATGACATCACTATGCCAGCAGTCGGGACGTCATTATGGCCGCAATGGCAGCACGGGGCAACAACTCTGGGTGAACCACGGTGCCGAGAAAGTTGATAGCCGGGCGGGACATAGGCCTCCGGCGGCTTGACCCTGCGAGAAAGTAAGCTTTGAATCCCGAAAATAAAGGGCCAAAACACACCCAAATAATACCATCAATAATTGATGATATCATTGATCCGGATCACGGCATGCGTGAGCGCAAAGTGATTCGAACAGACTCCAAGCTGACCGAAGATCAGTGAGCATTCATAAGAACATATATCAATACTCACTTGAGCGCAGAGCAGCATGACATCGCAGGCCCCTGGCAGCAAAGCCTAATGAAAAAGTAAGCCGATGTGAACGCTGATACAACAAGAAATGTGCTTACGTAAGCGCCTAATGCGGCACAATGATGCGCCATCACCACGTGTACGCAAGACGTGATAGCGCTGGCGAGGGCTCGACGCAGCTACGACAAGGTACTGTTGAAGTGTCTCATTAGCAATAATAAAATGGCGCCGAAATGGACATACAAACAACATCTCTGCATCCAAGCAGAGGTTCCCCCTCAAAGTTGATGTCCATCGTGCTAACGCGGCACTGGAGATAGGTCACAACGGCAAGGGAAGCAGTAGTACATCAACTCACCAGTGAAAAGCACCCGAGAATAGATTCCCCGCATTCACCATGGGTATTTGAGGTGATGGGCGGGCAACAAGGATCCGGGGCGGCGGCGGCGACAGCAGAACAATGTGCTGGCAACAGGTCATCATCAACGGCAATGCAGGAGGCACTGAATGGACTTACAACCACGTCAGTGTCCGACCAAAGGCCTGGCTTCCCCATCGAAGGTCGGTGTCAAAAAATGGGTTGAGGAAGGGCCAGTGGCGCAGGAGCGAAGCCAGCTGCAACTCGGCGGGCCACTGGAATGAGGGTCAGAGAGGAATATGGACGGTTAGAGGGATGCAGACGTACTCGTGTGTTGCTCGCTGCCAGCTCTGGGACCAAGATGGCGATGGCGAAGGCAGCCTCGGGCGGACAACCACCTGTGTCGGCGTCAGCAAGAGAGAAATGTGAACAGATGAGAGCTCACCAATCCTATGCTTGCCAGCGGAGCGGATGCGCGAGGGTGTTGGCGCGCATGAAGGGATGGTGGTGGAGTGAAGACAAGCAGGGTCCAGGCTCGTGACCTTGTTGATGATATGATGGATGCCCGGAAATCACGTCCACCCGCGGACATCACATTCTCATCATCATTCGTGCTGTCACGGCCATGTGCTCGGTCAGGGTTGGTGGTGAGTGCTAGATTTGTTGTCAGTTGGTGGAAACAAGGTGGAAATAGCACAAGAGTAGGGGAGTCCCAACGACTACGCCAGCAGAGGCCCTAGGAACAGAGCTGCCATGCAAGAAGACTATTTTTAGACACATGGCGGCAGGTGGAGCGAGCGTTGATAAAGCGGTGCGGTGGTTGCCAAGGCGGCGGCGGCAATGACGCCGTATTTTTATAACAGACCCGGGGTGTTGGTTGCCTTGGGCCCACTCTCAGGGATGGCGGCATCGAGGGAGTTGTTGTCGGGTTGCCAAGACGGCATAGTTCAAGAAAATGATGGCGTGTCATCCGCAGCGGAAATGATGGTGGTTGCTAACACGGGGCGACCGGCGGACAGTCGGCATTACATGATGCGTTAGGAATGTCGGTGGTGTTGGTCGCGTTGGCCAGCCTATGAGCGACGGGGAGCAAGTATTCATGATGGCGTGTCACTGGCAGGAACCCGAAAATGATCAGTGTCGCCGACTTGGGGTTGATAGAGTCAGCAATGGATGCACGCAATAAGTACCATGCATGCGGAACTTCGGCGCAGTGAGGCGAGTTGCATGAAGCCCCAGGCTGAGTTGAACTTGAATGAGAATCGTACCATCTGGCCCGGGCCACCGGCATTCAAACTATATTTAATTTAGCTGTTATGAAAGTGTCAGGGAAACGAATGGAAGCACGGATAGTGCACTCAGGGTTCACCGAAATGATGCTCAGGGTCCTCCGTGCTGGTTACATGGAAGAGAAGCAGCCCACGGTGGCAGCGGTTGATAGCCGAGGCCGTGGGGGTGGACGTGATCTAATCCCTACTGGCTCAAGCACTCATGGTCTCCTGCTCAAGCTGGCCTTGCCGTGTGCTGGTTTTGCCCTCCCACCTTTCTATCCTTTTTCTTCATCAATTAGTCAAATTTCCCTTTTTGATGCCCCTCAACCGCAGATTTCCCGCGAAAACGACGCGTTTGTCGTGTCAGACTCGCTGGATTTTCCTCAACCCGAGTCGTCAGCTTTTCAGAAACATCACCACTGACGCTGCAATCCAAATCCGGCAATTGCACCGGTACGACTCGGACTCGTGACTTTCCAGGCCTTGGGACAAACTCAATTCAGGGAAGTTCTATATTTTTCTTGAGTCTACCTACCCAGCGACACCCGAGCCTTATCGCCGCCCGCGATCCAACGCAGCAAAAGGCAAAAGAGTCCATTTCACGCAAAGAGGTCGAGGCACAATGAGTCCTGCAGAGATATATTAATAGCTGTAACCATTTGCCCAGAAGGGTCGCAATCGGCACAAGTCCCCCGCCGCCCAGAATGCGCCGCTGATCCCTTAGAAACGGACAGCTGTCCATTTTGGAGAAGTGTCGCAAACACGGGCCGTGTTCTCTAAGCGAGCTCCACAGCCTGGACCGGGCGGAGGTTATAAAAGGCTGCACGGCCTTCAAATCTCGCGCATCTCTCTCTCTTTCCCTCCCCCATCTTCTCTCGCTCTCGCTCTCGCTCTCGCTTTCGTCGTTGACTTCGCGTGCTCTTGGACGAGTGTCGGGTTATCGTTGGCATTGGGGATGAACTACTTCCTGGTGAGTTGGTCATCGTCGTCGTCGTCGGCGTTACTCACCGTCGTCCAGTTTGCCTGCCATCCAGTGTCTGTCATCGCCCTTGTCTCAAAGTCATCCTTCGGATTCCTTCCATTTGGCGTTTTGCTCGCTTATCTCTTCACAGCGCCCAGCCTCACCTCGCTAGACCGTCCGTCCCGTTGTACCTCTCGATCTATAGCGCCTGCCCCCGCTGGCGCTGCCCGCCGTGGCCCGTCGGTGGATGTCGCTTATGGAAGCCGCTGGCGGCTTCGTTGACGAGCTTCTCGCTGGTCTGCCCCCCTTTCGGAGACTATTCTCGGTGAGTGATGTCCTCCGTGGTTCGTGCTCGCGTGCTTACGGTCGGGACCAGCCTTTGGAGGGCTATCATCAACGTGGAGATAGGCCCGCGGGCAGTATTGCGACTTGCGAGCGGGGGGAGAAGCGAGAAGTGGTTGACCTTTAGCACGTGCTCGGGTCTTCGCACCCAAGCGCCGAATCTCTCGTCCCACGCTTACTCTCCCTGACCCTTGCCATCGCTGGCGCTGCCCTCCGTTGCCCGTCGGTTCACGTCGCTGCGCTCGCCTCGTCCTCGCTGTTTCCGCCGACTGATGCTTTGGTGAGTGAACACCTTCGTCTTGCTCGTGTGCTTACCGTCGTTAGCGGTGTCGTCAACGTGGACATCGACGCTTGTTGGAGGCGCCCTTGTCGAGTAGTTCATCACCCTCGCTGCCGCTCCCCGTCGGTGGATGGCGCTCATCGAAGCTTCTGCCCGCTTCGTCGACGAGCTTCTCGCTGCCAATGGTTTGGAGTCTCTTCCCGAGTGCTGGTCAAAGGTGAGTCGTGGCCTTCATAGTTCTTGCTTGTGTGCTTACCATCCGAGTCGTTACCAGGTCTTGGAATGCTGTCGTCGACGTCGAGTCGTGGACCTTGGAGGTGCGTGGTTAGCTTCACCCATGGGAATACACATGCTTATCGTTCGTCGTAGATCTCTGCTTGTAGTGTTCTCCGCTGACCGTTTCCCTGCTTCAAGTTGTTGGAGGCGCCCTTGGGGACTGGTTTTGTGGTGCTTTTTGCTGTCCATCAGCTTGGAGACTATCCATTTAGCCATGTTTCGCCGACGCTTCCCGTGTTTCCACCCAACGTGCTGGCCAAAGGTGAGTCATGACCTTGGTCGTTCTGCTCGTGTGCTTACCGTTGTTGCCAGGCCTTCGAGTGCTGTCGTCAACGTCGATCCTGGTGGGTTAGCCTCCTCGTTGTCCATAACCTGCTGACTATTCATTAGTAATGCGTCGTAGACGACCTTCTCGCCGTTTCCGCCCAAAGTCCTGGCGAAAGGTGCGTCATCACTATCGTGTTTCATGCTCGTGTGCTTATGGTTCTTGCTCAGAGTGCCATTGTCGCCGGCGTTGACGCTATCAGCGAAGGTGAGTGGTTATCCCCGCACATTGGATATTTGTGCTGACTGTTCCATGTAGCCCGCTTCTCTCCCCGTTGCTTGCATGCCCCGTTTGCCGTTGGTGAGTCTGCGCGGTTGCGCGCATTGTTTGTTGCTCACTAACTTGTTTATCGTGTCCCTCAAAGCATTCCCGCTCGTGCGTTCAGTTGTCCGCTCATCGTTAAATACGACGGTGTGCTGCCTAGACGGTGGGGTCAGCGTTCCCTTGCGACCGATCTCTTGTTGGGCTTACGAGTTTCTTAGCCCTCTTTGCCGTTTTCCGCCCTTGAAACTCGGCCACTGCGCAGACTTCTTTTGTGCCGGTGCTGCTGTGCTTGCCGGCGCGTTCTTACGGCTTGCTGTCCGGATCCACGGCAGCCCCAAGGTGCTCGCTTATTCCCGCCCTCGACAAAGCTGACTGGCCCTCCCAGCGCGAGTTTGCCGTGAACGGCCTCGCAGGTACAGCCATCATCGGAGATGTCACGGCCACTGACGGCCTTTGCGGCTGGACCTGCGCAGTGGGTGCGGGAGGCGGCTTAGGCGGCTTCGGGTGTGTTGAGCGGGACGGTTGGTCGACGTAGATAGTGTCTCCCGCGTTAGATAGGTTTGGCGTGTGCGTTGGCGGCCGCGGCGTGCCATTTACGTTTGCGGCAGCATGAGCCGCTTGCCTTGGGGCCGTAGCACTGGCACGGGCCGGGGCCGAACGGTGAGCGGGGGCGGGGCGGGCAAGTCGGTCAGTAGACGAGCGCGGGAGAGGGAGAAGGAGAAGGAGACAAGCGAATAAGCGAAATAAGCGAACACGTGTGCCACGTCACGCTCGCTCACGCTGTCTCCGGTCTCCTTCTTCCGCTTCTCTCCCCACCTTAGGCTGCCATTCCCCGCCCGCGTGTGTTGTGCTGGCGCGGCTCGGGTGCGCTAACTTGCCCCCGCTCACGTCGTCGGCCGCGAATCATGATGCTGTGTGGTTGGCGCGGGGAAAGACCGTACCGGGGTGTGGCTGTGGCGGGTCTAGGCCTCCTCGGGGTCTTCTCTTACCGGTGTACGCAGAGAGTGTTGAATGCAATCGTGGTTCTGGGGCTCGTCGCGCGGCGCCTGCATCGTCTCGGGTCCTTCGCATCCTCTCGACGCCGCGCTTCCCGCCGGAGCTGGAGCAACAGATCTTCGAAGCTGTCGCCTTGTTGTACCCGGAGAACATTCGTCGCGTCGGTGCCAGTGCGCATCCCCCCTTCTCGTTGACTGACTGCGCTGACGGGAACGTAGACGATGCGCGCACGATTGCACACTCAGTCATCAGCTTCCTGCTCTCGTTCTCCCTCAGTCTCCCTCCCGCTGCTGAACCGCCGCTCGACCTCTCCTCGGCGATTCAGGCGGTCAACATCCACATCCTCGCGGGTACTCCGCCGAATCCGCTCAACGGGAACTTCGACGACGAGAAATGCTCCCCTGCGCAGGTGACGGCTATCCGCAATGGCATCGTCGACGCGCGCAACATGGCGACTGGTGCGATAGCGCTGCTGAAGCCGAAGGACATGAACAAGAGTAACGGGTTCTTCTGGATCTTCGGCGGCTCCACGGTCGACCCCGCAATCATCACCAAGCACTTCTCCTTCGTGCTCAGGCTCGGCACGGCGGACGAAATCACGTCGACAAAGAAATATGAAAACAGCAAGACGGATCTTATCTTCACGTGCATTCCACCGACGGCCCCGAAGGCAACCTCTGCATATGCGAACACCCAGAACATCGGCCGGCAGAAGTCAGTTCTCAACCTCATCCGGCTGTCGCCGACAGGGCTTGCGGTGCGTTTCTTGCCCTTGTCGCGGTGGCGACTCATTGGTTGACAGAACACGGAATCGTACACAGTCGCTGCCGCGCGCGTGAAGGCGTCTGGCCAGATCCAAGACGGCTTCCCCGTGAAGCAAGTCGGCACGCTGTCGGTCCCCGCGCCGCCACTCGCTTTCACGATCGTTCATGAGGTGCAACACGCTGATCCGCTGATGGACAACCCTGCAACAGACCACCTTGTCGATGAGAAGGGCGGCACCGGCGCGCGCGCGTACGGCTTCCAGCAAATTATGCACGAGTTGTCCAAGGACCAGAAGGCGCGCAATCCGCAGAACTATGCGTTCTTTGGCTTACTGGTGCGTTGTCGCTCGGTAGTAACATTCTACTGATCGCTTTCAAGGCCGCGTCTAACCCGGAGTTGTTCGTGCCCAACTGCTACATCGGCGACGCGCCCCTCAGCCTCGCGCCACTCTTAATCGCCGGTCGTCTCCGGATGCAGACGCCGCTCGGGCCGGACACATGCCACACCACGGTCCCCGGGGCGTGCGCCGCCTGCAAGAAAATTATCAAGGGCATTCCCGGTGATGTCAAGCTGCCCAACTTCGACCCCGATTCCACGTAGGTTGCGCGAAGGCGTTGTTCGTAAAGCTCAGAACGACCTTGGTACCATCCTTGCTAACAACAAGTTTTTGTACAATGTGTGTAATTGAAATAAAAAGACGACTTATCAATAAAACACTCCATTGAATAATTTGAATTTCAAACAAGACTTAGATAGGCGGCCGAGGATCCAGCTGGGACGCCGGGCCCACGGTGAGTCGGTGACCAAAGAATTCCAGAAAGGAGCTACAAGAAAGTGCAGCCCAGCCTGAGGGTAAGAAGACCATTGTTAGAGAGGGTTGTCGCTGCTGTGCAGTAAACATATAAGTAGGCGAAAAGCCTTCTATTGATAGCATTAGGTCTGGAATATTGACTATTTTAACCGGGGAATCCACCCTTTCCCGTTCGCGTCCAAGATCTGAATCGGTGACTTTCGCTGTCGCAGGGCGTCCGACCACCGTACGAACGTGCTATATCGAATGTCATGGCTACTCAAGTAATGAATGTCCACTTTCAAAGAGAACGCATCAAGTACGCACGCGTTGGTAGGCCAGACGATGGTGGAGATGTGGAGTTCTCGCAGCGCGGGCAGCCGGTCCAGCGCCGCCTGGAACTGCGCGGCGGCGAATATCTGGTTCCACGTCTTGTCTGCACGCGTCTCAGGGGAGCTGCAACCGAATGATGAGTATCTCGTGAGGCGGAAGCGAAGTATGTACTTACGTCGTAATGTGAACTGTCCGCAAATATTCATGCGCGACGCCCGTCTCCAATAACCCGAGACTCTGCAGACCATGAGAGTTAAGCATCGCGCGAGAACAGTGAAGACGGACACAACTGGAATGATGATAATACCGCACAGTAAGTCGGAGATGCACGATCCGGGGACAGAGGGTGAGGAAGGGGGAAGAGTCGATCAGTAGGTTCAGGTCCAGATACGATCCAATCAAGCTTAGCTCTCGAAGCTTGCTGCCATGCGCCAGCAGAAAGTTCTTGATGGCGGGATGACGATCTTTCTCATCAGGTACATGCAAAGCGAGGCATCTCAGTCGGCTTAGACTGCGGGATCATTAGGGGAGGAATGGAATGAATATATGCCAGTGGACACACGATGAGTGTTGCAGGAGGGGGCATATGTCGGGCGTGTTGACAGAAATCCGCCTCAAGTTGGCCAACGTGCTGGACGCGAGAGTTGAGAGGTGTAATTCATCTACACCGACGTGGCCAGGCACCAATCCCGAGCCATACCAGCCCACGCGCTTTACCAGCCGGCGGCCTGTCGTCCACTCCAGCACCTGCAGCGCCATGAACTTCTCGAATACAGCGGGATCTCGGGGCGGGATCACGATTGGTTCCGGAGCAGGTTCCGGCTCAGTGTGGATCGAGTCGCCAATTAGTGCAGCAGGCGTGACCACTGGGGGTGGTTCCACCACAGGTAACGGCTCCATCACACAAGTCAGCTCACGCAAGCCGTGCCCTGCGCTGTTAGCCAGTGCGACGAAAGCGGCCCAGGGGAGACACCATTCCCCTGTCGTCATTGGGAGGAGAAGGCGTTCGAGATTATGTGTATGCGCCAGCAGCACTTCCAAGGCAAACAACGGGCCCGGATGTGAAGCAGATTCACGGTGAATTTTGAGTGTACGAATGTGTTGGGCAAGATGCGGGTAGAGTGGAAGGACACCGGCCAGACGATGCACCATGCGGTGTGTCGCATCGATCACCGCGTAGTGGATGGGCTGCGCCAGACGCTTTGAGAAGTTAGATTGCGGGAATCAATCAAATGAACAGCGCACATAGAACAGTTTCGAGACAAGAAGATAGCGAACTCGAGCTTCTTCCGGAGACATTTGTCGCATCTTGACGGGATGGACGTGGCCGGAGAGTAAGGTATAGGCTAGAATACGAGTCCATATACGATCCGATAGGTGCGGATCCACATCGGCCAAAGGCTGGAATAACGCGTTGGAGGGGGGCAGAATGTTCACCTGGTACCCATGTTCAGAGTGCGAGGCGGGTCTTCGCGGTGGTGCGCTGCGTGATAGTTGTGAGAATGGACAATCCATTCGGAAGTGAAACTCACGGCGCCGACAAGGACCAGCGAATGAGCTGATGAAGGGTAGTGTTATCGGTTTTGAATGGCTTAGTGTGTAAGGCCGCCTGGTGTGGTCTATTGCGAAACTCGATTGCCTCGATGTTGGCGTTCAAAGCGAGCGCCCCAAGGGTGTCGAACGTGGCGCTTTCTGAGTCTCCGAAGAGGCGGCGGTAAGAAAACGAGACGCGCTTTACATACGCGCAAACGTTACGGACGAAGACGTCGTGGCAAGGGTGGATGGCGGCGAAGGAGAAGACCACGGTTTCCTGAAGTTTTGTGTCAGCAAGAAGTGCAGGAGCGGCGGAATGCATCGATTGCAACGCACCAGATTGTCCCACTGCTCTGCACTCTGCTCTACTGCCAACCGCAACTGGAGCAGCCCATTACTGCGCGAATTGTTGCCCTCCGCGTCGTAAACGAAAAGTCGCGTCGGGTTGATGTGAAAAAGACCCGCAATGAGTCCCGAGGTCGAGTCCGGGGGACGAATGGCCATATTTAGGTATAAGTCTGTGATGTTCGGGGTACGAATGAGGACGTCCTTCATGGGCGGCCCAAGCCCGCCTTCGAGGCGGAGCTTCCGGACAAACGTCCCCAGCAGGGGGTTGCTCTTCAGCGTTTCTTGTAGTGCCCCGGCCTGAGCACGGGATCGTAGGACCACCACGCTATAGAGCAACGGTGTCGACACCCTCAGCCATGCCTTGCATACGAGCAGAATGGCAGAAGTCGAGTATGGCCGGGTAAGCTGGGCGAATGGTGATATGGGAGAGAGATCCTCGAAGAGGTCGTCGGGCACGCGTAGCACGGGGGTGAGAATCTCGGAGACGATTTCGTCGGGGAGCATGGAAGAAAGGGGTGAGCGAGCTTTGGCCTTGTTTGGCGTTTTTCTTGTGACATCTGACAGATGATTGATTGATGGTGCCGCAGCGGGGTCACGGGATGTGTGGCTGTGGGAAGATAAGCGCGTGAGGTGACGCGTCGGTCAAGACCGAAAACATGTGCTGGATCGCGCAACGGTCCAGAATGGAGATGTGCTCACTCTCATGGAAGTATGTCGATAAGCTCGGCTGAGGTCTTATCGGATTCCCTTGCGCACGCCGCAGTCGATCAGCAGTGCAGAGTTCGACGGCAGTGCTGCAGGTTGGCAGCCAGGTCAAGGGCTAGAGGGCGATCCTGTTGACGAGAGAGGGAGGATCTGGGAGTCTCGATGGCAGCGTTCGCACTTCACGGGGCTCGGCAACTGAGGCGGCGGCGTTGCTCTTTCAGCAACGGCCGAGCCGATCAGATGCGGCAAATCGTTACTCATAATTTGCGAATACCGAGAAGATCTTCAAGCCGAACGCAAGTCTGCATTCTAGATGCACTCTAGCGAGCAATATTACTGTACGTACAGTACTGTACCCATTCCTGACTGCCTATGACTGCGCCACCAGCAACAGTCATTCTGACTCCAAGCCTGGGGTGTTGTAGAATAAATTATAGTTAACTTGAGTTTCCGTGGCTCCTTGAACCGAGTACTCATACTAGTATCCACGCAAGCCACAATAGCATACGACCGTGGGAGGGCATTGACAGTGTCTATAGGTAAAGGCGATCAGGATCGACCAACAATGAAAAATAGAGAAAGGCTCACACGAAGTGCTGTTGCCCGGCGGTGTGCGATGGGTCATAATACGACTGTTGCTGCGCATACGCCCCTCCGTAATACATAGCCGGCGCCGTCGCCGGTACCACGTAGCCAGCGGCCGGTAGCTGACTTGGATACATGCTCCCATGCCCGTAGTCAGGTGGTGCTGTGGCAGGCATACCATGTGGATATCGAGTGCTCGACGAGCGATGTCGATGGGGCACATTGTGCATCGAAGGCTGGCGATGACCCATCGAAGTCGGCGGGCGCGCATAAGGATCGTGAAGCGCAATATCTGCGACCGTTCCGGGTGGGAAGTTCATCGTCTCGGGACGATGTTTCTGAGGCTTGCGTTCACGATCGCCGACATGAGTGACACTTCCGGGGGTCTCCTTCATGGGCAGGTACCGACACTCCCACCCTTGCGTAGTACAACGGCGACAAGGCTGGTCGGGAGATTCGCTCAAACACTAAGAACTGTCAGTTGAGCGTTGACACGACAAGCGGAAAAGATTTGCCTTGATTTTACTCTTGCGACAATTAGCGCATGCAATCTGTACCCGAGGGCGCTCGGCACCACCGGAAGAGTAGGGAGAGGGGGGATTGCTCGATGTGCTATCTGACATGGAAGACGGGAGAGGGGGATGATGTCGAGAGCGTCTTGGTGCCGGTTTTAAGCAAGGAAGAGGCAAGGTACATCGCCCTTATTGATGACGACGACGGACTGAGCGACTCTTCATTCGTATAATGAATTACGTTGATCGCCGTGATCAGCCGAGTGATTGACCCGAGGGAGATTTGCGTTGGCTTGGGGGTCCTAGCACGGTGTTGTTAATCGACGAGGTCCAGAATCATATCTATATCCGAGTGAGCGACGCTCAAACGCTGAATCCCATTCACCGGATGGAACGAGGACCGAATCTCAAAGCGGAATCGCAACATTGCCCTGAGATTAGGATTGCAATCTGCCATGAAGCTGTTGCAACTTGTTTTCCGCATGACTCGATTACGCCCATCCTCAATCTCCAAAAAGTCAGGGTCCAAGGTGGCACCTCGCAACCGCCGCGGCCCGGCGCATTACAACGGTTGTCGCACGGCCGTGATGGCAGAGATGAGCGGCAAGATTGTCCGAGAAAAACACAATGTGAAAGTCCGCAAAGAGAGCTTCAAGAATGGCTGTAGTAGATATTTAGCTGAGCTACCAGCGCTCATCGGCGAGATTTTGTGAGAGACTGATGGTTGCTACGAGCGACCGAAAAAGGCAACTCGTCAGAATCGTAAACAGAAGCCAAAGTCTGCACGATCTCAG